CTCAAGCTTGTGGTTGCATCCCATGACTGCAACTATGTTATTCACATAACCAACAAACTCACCTCGTATTTCAATGGGAACATAGGTAAGCTTTTTGGTACAAAGATTAAAGCAAACTACGCGTCCATCATTGTGAACCATAAGAAACTGATTCATTCCACACAATAAGCTTCAAATCAAGGTCACGCCCCAAGTAAATAAAGGGTGTTAGGAGCTTAGGATGGTGGAAGCAGTAGCTAGTCGATTGGGTTTTGCAGATTCACGGTGGAGGTGAAAAATTAAGAGAGAACCGACATAGCTTTTTGTGTCGTTTCCCACAGACGGCGCCAAATGTTGATACACAAAATCGGAGGTCTTGGAACAACGTAAATCCGACCATGAATCTGGAAGAAATGTAAATAACACAAGATGTATCGTGGTTCACCCCAATGTTTGGGCTATGTCCACACTGATTATTGTATTTCTCTGTGAGGATGAGATCAATGAATCTCAGAGTATGAGAGGCTTTGAGAGGGTGAGGGGTTAGGCCTAAGAATTAGCCTCTCTCTAATGGGGAGAGTGATGAGTCTTTTTATAGAAAGGCTCCTTACTTATTACATATTTACCCATTCCTTTATTACATAATTACATTTAAGTCCCCTGAGTATTTATACGAGATCTAAATACGGAGGCCCTAAGTATGGTACAAATAAGAGTCACCTTTGAGAAAATAACCAAGTAGGTAGTGACCTCTCAATGCGGATTAACCAAGCAGAATCACTCTTACAACTATTGGAAAGTGATCACCCAATGCGGATTAACCAAGCATGATCACCTTTAAATGTGTATGGTCATACTTAGGATATAAGGATCGCCCAACGCGGATTAACCAAACACGATCCACAAATAGTATGGTCCTCTAACGCAGATTAACCAAGTACGACCATCCAGGACCATTGCTACGAGGTGCAGACTTAGTGTCACCTAATCCCATGACACTAGGGTAATGGTCCTTTACAATCCATCATTTCTATCAAACCATCAAATATATATTCCAAAACACAATCCATCATTTTTATCAACCATCACACATAAATTCCAAAACACAATTCATCATTTTTATCAACCATCACATATATATCCCAAAACACAATCCATCATTTTTATCAACCATCACACATATATATTCCAAAACACAATCCATCATTTTTATCAACCATCACATATATATCCTGTTTGTACCATACTTGACCAATCCCGAAACTACTGAGCACCGGTCAACTTTATACTGTCAAGGACCCAAAAGCCAATCACAGCGAGACACGTGTCGACATCAGAAGCCAATCATTGCGCGACACGTGTCAACATCAGAAGCCAATCACAACACGACACGTGTCAATGTCAGAATGAAACTAGAAACTATCTTCTATAAATAGAGATCATTCTCTCACAATATTTCCTAATGTCATTTGTACTAAATCATTCACTAGTACTCACTAAATGAGAGCTTGAACCTACGTACTTGTGTAAACCCTTTACAATTAATGAGAACTCCTCTACTCCGTGAACGTAGCCAATCTGGGTGAACCACATACATCTTGTGTTTGCTTCCCTGTCCCTATCCATTTACATACTTATTCACACTAGTGACCGGAGCAATCTAGTGAAGATCACAAACTTAACATTTTCTGTTGTACCAAAGTCCTCACTGATTTTGTGCATCAACATATCCCAAAACACAATCTATCATTTTTATCAACCATCACACATATATATTCCAAAACACAATCCATCATAGTTCAAATATCCAAATCACCTAATGTTTCATAAGTAGATCGACGGCAACTTAATAGCAACAATTATTTAGCATCAGAACTATTTTAAGAATCCATAGTGTAACCACAAAGTTTATTAGCACAAAGGATTTCAAAGCAATAACCATAACACATAGATTAGAATCACTCACTTGAGATCCACACTAACGCACTCAAACACAAGAGTCAAGGCATCACGTTCTATCACCGCCTAACAAGGTACAAACCACATTTAGATTTCCTTCGACAATTCACATACTTAAAACTCTCATATATTTCCCACAAAAACATTTAATGAGGAATCGAACTGTCATTCTAAAGTAGGGTCCATGATCTTACGTCACTTATCCCGTAATATCCAATCACTAGATTTTCACTTGTAAGTCCCTAAGGTCCTTAAACATTATCTACCATAGCATACTAAAATTGGTGTCAATTCAATGGTAAGATCATCAATCGCTAGAATAATCAAGTGGCAGAGCTTATCGATAAAATACTCAACCAACAACATTTTTATAAATCGAATGTCACACACCTGAAAATTTGACCTCAAATTTTACAAGAATAAAGATTTCAACAAGTAGAGTAAACTTTATACCTGTGGCTGAGTCCAATTTGGCCAGGAAGGCCCTCAAATTGTCTTGCACCCAACGAAACCCTAAGGTGGGTGTCCTTAAATTCGGCTTCCTTGGTGTTCCAACGCCCCAACCACTAGTTAGGTCCTGTTCCTGGGTCCAAGGGAAGTTGACTAAGGGTGATGGTTAATGGTGATACTCTCCGGAACGACAATTCGTTGTCGAGAACCCCCCGGGTTCTCCTATGGAGTTCTACCTGAATTTGGCCTTAAAACCCTTGATTTTTGGTGGAGATGGAAGATGGAAATTCCAGGGATGGGATTTCACAAATGTAGAGGGAATTGCACATATAGAAATTCAAAAAAGAATCAATTTGATTCAGGTCATAATATATATGGGATTCCCAAGTTCTGATGAAATTAGGGTTTCACTATAAAACTAATTGGCAATATGGGGAGTAACCCAAGACCATATAAACCCACAACAAACTTTATCCCTCACCAATGTGGGACAACTTGTCTCTTACATTTCAACTTTCAACACGCCCCCGCACGTGTGGCTGATTTTCAAGCCTACACGTGGACAACAACTGGATGAAGCGTGAGCATATGTGGCCCTTAGGTTTTCACACGAGGGACAACCTGCTCTAATACCATGATGAAAATGGGATTCCACCATAAAACCAATTGACAATATGGAAAGTAGCTCAATACCATATAAGCCCATAGCAAACTTTGTCCCTCATCGATGTGGGACAACTTGTCTGTTACATTTCAACTTTCAACAGTTATCCCCTTGAAATTATGAACTTGCCATTAGAAAGTACTTTTTCTCTGTGAACCTCAACCGAGCATTCTTTCTTCTGTGTGAAAGAGGGTTTTAACGCCCAGGTTTGCCACGTTATACAGCACTTATAAATTTTGGGTCATGAATGGTTCATTTGCTGCACAAATTAAATACCCATTATGCTTTCAGACAAACTTCAGTGTGTTGGACATTGGGCAGGCCCAACGGTCTATGATTAGTCCAAACAGTTAATATTGGATTATCTTAATTGTCAAATGCTAGCGTAAGGTTTGATTGATTCCCTTCCATTGCTACCCAAAACCAAAAGGACTGGCAGTTTAAATAATGCTAGAGCCTGGGCCGCTAGGGTTAGCTAAGCTTCCAGAAAGAATTGACATGATAGTGATACGCAGAGCAATATACAAATTTATCTAAAGAGAGTGACGCAGCCTGCTGCTTACAAAACCAGCTAGCAAATAGTCCAACAACCCGCGAAGTTTTAATTCAGCAGCAGGAGGGGAGGCATTATCTGTGGTTGATGAGTACTGCACCAAATAATTAGAAATTTTATTTCTCCAAATTTAGCTATTTTCTTTGGTTTGGAACGGTTCATATATGTTTGTCCTTATCCACGAGTGTTCATATTGCTATTAACAAAAACTAGAGACCCGCATTAATTTAAGTTTCCCAACGATGTCGAAATCCCTATTTTAGAGTCTAAAGTGAGAGTAACCCTCAACCCTACAATCCTAAACTGGTACCAGTTGGATATGGTGCTATAAAACACACACACATACACATAGATATGTATGTCTTGTTAGAATTAGAGCTTGATCTTGTAATTTTGTGCTGAAAATAAGAATGAGAATGGTGATTTTACACTGTTTGGATTTTAGGGGAAACAAAGTTGTAGAAAGAGAGGTATCAGAGAGGAATGTTCATTGCATTACTGCACACAAATCGTGTGGAAATATTTCGTTGTTACAAGCTTGGAGAAGGAGTGAGCTTTTGTCTCTTACATCATCACCTGCACCTAACCATTCAAATGATCTATAGGATGATTACATTTGTCAAGAGTTATAACTCATTAGTCATTACACAAAATATGTAATGAATAAAAACATTAAAACTACTTCTGCAAATACATTTACACATCAACACTCCCTTCTAAATGTTTTGCAAATTTCACTCCCAAGGCCATCCTCAGATTACTCAAATCGATCCCTTGCTAAAGCCTTTGTAAAAATGTATGCAATCTATTCTTCAATTTTGCAATAAATAAGGTCAATTCACCTTCTTCCAGAGCATCCTCTATTATCATTACTATAAAAATTAAACAAATTCAAAACCATTAACATATCCATTGTAATGAAGAATATAGACGAATATAATGCTGCTAAGAACCACTAAAATAACTGCCATTTAAATCAAATTGATTTTGTGATTTTAGCAATTTTTTTTATAAGAGTTATCTATGAGGGAGGACTTAAAATAGATTGGTTAAAATATAATTTGGAATAAGCAGTATAAGAGAGTCAGAAGCTCATTTGAGGAATCACTTGATTTTATATATAGGGTTTAAGGTATAGGATAACTACAAATATCAAGCGATGAATAAAATGTTATTTCAGTCACAGGTCAAAATTAAGGTCGCCATCAATGAGGAATCCATATAAGAGGAGCAATTCAATACACAGAAATACATCTGATACCATAGGATATATAGAAACAAATTAATAATAACAATTATCAATGAAAGCTGGTCATGCTCTCATCAACACTAGTCTATATCCAGTAACAATTAATTAACAAATAATTGGGGGGCATATATGGCGTGACCCATCACCAAGTCCTAATTAAACAAGAAGAATACGTCGACAATGATGCAAACATATAGTTCGAAGCTCTCTCTCTCTCTCTCTCTCTCTCTCTCTATAAATCCAAGATTTCGGCAGCCACTGTGAAGTTGGAACCAAGAAAACCTAATTAGAATGAAAAGGAAGTTAATGGATCAGAACATGGGATCAGAGATTAGATGTGCCATTGAAGAACTCTCCGTTATGGTCAAAGTTAAAGGTGGTATACTGGTCCCAGCGGCTGAAAATGGTGGTGGTGATCATGCTCACGAGGCTGCCCATATTCCCACCAGGCCTTTTCTTTCTCTCTGCACCTTGATTCTTCAAGTTCTTGGTCTCTCTCTCTCTCTCTCTCTCTCTCGTATGATCGGATCAAAGAATATTTGTTCTCTCCTTTTTAGGTTCTAGGGTTTACTTTTAACTTTGAGAAAGTATATTCAGTCAGTATAACTTCAATGGAGATTGTCTTTGATGCTTTGAAAGACGCGTGCGCACACACGCAACCTGCCATAATCAAATACCACTTACAGTTGTTTCTGCCCTTTTGCAGATAAAATAGGACCAACAATGGCTGTTCTAAGCCAAGATGTCCATCAAAATATTCGGGTAATAATTACAAAGAAAACCAATCTTAGCATTTATATATGTGCATATGTATTGTAGTAAGTGTATTCAGTCAGTATCTATTTATGAACAATTTATACACACGTATAGAATATTGTTCTTATATATGCATTGCAAGAAAACGTGATTTTGTTCCTTCTAGGACCTTCATGTAGTAATAATTACAAAGAAAACCAAGATGCTTCACATGCTTCAAGTGTCTGAATAAAGCATTCTTATCCAATAGCAATGGATTTCCAATGTGAAAATTTCTTTCTTAAGTCCACTCTACCTCCCTTTGACTTTTCATGTAATATTGCTCTCGATTATATCATTACATAATTAATTGGCAATTTGAACTAATTAATCAATCAAGGGATTGATTAATCTTTTTTTAGTAACCATTTTACCAATTCTTATCTGTGTAGAGGTTGGAAACGAAACATGAATCAGATCCTCCAACATATTCAAATATGGTTGACATGTTGAAAAACGAGACGACAGAAGGCATTGCTAGAAACGTTACCAGTTGTAGTAGAGCCTTTGTTTGGCTCACCAGGTAATTATTTAATTGGCTCATCACCAGGTAATTAAACAAATATATTTAATTACTTTGTTTGCCCTTGACTATGTGAGACATGAATGATATTATTATTGAGTTTTACAAACACCGAGAACCTTCTCCATTTGGACGGAGGAATTTAAAAGATATAGTTTCGATTTAACCATAAAGCTAAATGTTTCCCAAAATTTTGAAATTATATAGAATGCAGTTAAAATGACTGTATGAAGGGAATCATTTTGAAATTCATTTTTGTTCTTTATTTCCTTCTTGTCCCAATCTCCATGGATTATATAATCTAAAAAAAAATATTATCTTATAACGTCATATATATAATCCCTAGATTTGAAATCGTAAATCTAAATGGGCCCTTATTTATTCCAAATTTAATAGTTCATACCAAGATTTTAGAGAGTTGACTAATAATTAACTCATCGGTAATCAATATTAATATTGTCCTGATCAACTTAAACACATGTGTGATTCAGTATGTGTGAAGTTTTATGATACAAAACCTTGAAGTATTTAAAAATAGAACTACTTGATATAAGTTGTATTACCTACCCCACCGTCTTCCCAACCTGACGATCTTGGATTTCCCGGTGGGTGATATGGTGTTGCTCTGCTGTTGCCTGCCTGATTATTATGTGATAAACAAAACTTATAAGTTGTATTTAATTTTAAGATTAATCTCAGTTTATCATTACGAGGTTTATTGGTTTTCTAACATTTAATACATGAAACTTTTTTATCTCAGAGTAGTATATAAAGTCATAATTTTGAAATATTTTTATACATCTGTTAAGTTTGCTGTTAAATCAACCGTTAAGTGATGACGTGGCGTTCATGTGGACAGTGACTAGGCGCTACGTGTAATGGAGCCCACATAAATATTAAAAAAAATAAAAAAAAAAAAAATTATAAAAAAAATAAAAAAAGTTTCTGGGCTGTGCTAGACTTCCCGGCGGTGGCGACTCAAATCCCGACAACCCCGAAAGTCTCACCTCCCAGAAACTGTCACTCACCAGTCCTCCCCCAAACCCACAGCCGCTGCCCACCACAACAACCACCACCACCACCACCTCCACCACCAAGATCCAACAATTTTGCCACCCTCCAACAAAAACTTCAACATCCCACCAATCAAAACCGCCCCACCAACTCGCAACTTCAGTCAACCCTTAGGACGCGTAGCTCAGATCAGCGGTGCTCGTGACCATGAATGGGTATTTGTCGTGTGTTCCTCTGCCCCGTCGGAAATCACAGAGGAGCAATACTCAGATTCTTCACCCATTCGCAGCTTTCTTTGACTTCCGAGCCCAAACCTTTGCTCAATTCAACAAAATTGGAAATTGATTAAAAAATGGAAATTGAAAGATGGAAGATGGAAATTGATTCAAAAGGTTAGTCTTTTATTATAGATGAACTCCACTTGATTGGCGGTCAGGGTTGTTCCATCTTGGAGGCAAATACAAAGGATCTTGGAGAATGGATATGGCTAGCTTTCATGGCCTTTTCAATTTTCCTCCTGGTGTGCCCGGTGCTCCTGGAATTACACATTCAGAGGGTGGATTTGGCTAACTTCGAAGCCAGGATGCAAGCAAGGGCAAAACCTACATACACTGCAATTGACGGCGATGAAATCCGCCAGGAGGATTATGAGTTAGCGTATTTCGACGGTGAAGAAGAACTGAACGTTGGCTTGGAGGGTGAGGTCGAGTTCTGAGCTGGTGCAGAGGACGAGGTTGGTGAAATCTAGGGCTTGGAGCTTGCGGACGATGATGGAGCCAACGATGCCGTTGTTGCAGCGTGAAATGATGAAAGAGAGAGAAGACATGAGGGGCAGAGAGAGAGAGGGTAAGGAAGAGAGAGAATTAGTGGGTATACAACCCTGAAGTGGGCGCCGGTTGCAGAGGGAAGAAGGAGGGGAGGGGGTTGGGGAGGTAGAAGACGGGGTGGGTTTTTTCTTATTTTGTATTTTTTTAATTTTTTAATATTGAAGTGGGTTTATATTGACACGTAGCGATCAATTATTGTTTACGTGAGCGCCACGTTATCAGTTAACAGAAGTTCTAATAGAAAACTTAACAGATGTATGAAACTGTCTCAAAATTAAAACTTGAGATATGACTTTAGAATGAAAAAAATTTCATGTACCAAATATTGAAAGTCATGATATTAACTGAGATTAACCTTTAATTTTAACTCTACTTTACTACTAGCCATTCGATTTTCGGTGATAAGTAAATCAAAATCAACTTAATTTTAACACAAACATCTATTAGTTTCTTACATAAATAAAACTTGTTTGGTAATTGCTTTTAGTTTTTAAATAAAATGAAAACTGAAAACGAAAATCATGTCAACTTTTGGTAACTCACAAAAGAGGATGCCAGTTTTTTGTTTTTATTAAAACTGAAAACAATTACAAAACAAGTTTAGTTTTCACAAAAAGAAAAACTAAAACTAAAAATTAAATACAAATTTATTATCAAACTGCTCAATACACACAAATATTGGCTAGTTCTTTTTCTTTCAGAAATAAACAACGATTGGTCTATATAGCTTTAGGTTACATCCATAATATATTTCGCATTCAACATGCTCTCTGCTTTTTGTTCGTAAGTTTATATCAATTACGTGTACGCTTCCAAACTTTAAAGTTAACAATGGTACAAACTATCTCAGCCTCAATGCTCACACCACCCCGGGAACTAAACAACCCCAATAACTTATGTCATTCAGTTGTACAGTTATTTTTTTCTAATACAACAATATATTTATATTAAGTGGTGGAGGAATTAATTGGTTATGAACACGCTATTCACGAGATTTAAATCTTAAATATATTTATTACAAGTGAAGGAATACCACTAAACTTTAATAGTAAACGACGAATTGTATAAGTATTCAATTATTTAGAATTCACCAAGCGGCCCCACTTTTACATTTTTGAGTTAGACTTTACTTATGCCATCAAAGTTCGCTTTCATTGCTAATGCTAATAACCTTATAGTACCTAAACCCTTGTTTAGGTGCATAATTGGCACTATATATTTCTTGGATGTATCAACTACTTGTTGTATAAGATGCTTCATTTTCGTTATAAATTAATTGGTTTGTTCTACATTCAGATCCCTAGATTTTACAGTGGCCTTATTGCAAAATTTAGTAAGAGATCCCGGGAAAAATATGAAGCAGGCAGTGGAAGAGTCTTATACCATTACTTTGAAGCCATGGCATAGATGGATTTCATCAGCTGCTTCTAAAGTATTATTCTCTTCTTTTTTTCAAAAGCTAGATAGCTATTCATTATTTATTCCACTATTATTGTCCCAAACTTAAGCAACTTATCTAGCTATTCATTAGGTTCAACAAAAGGATGTTAACACCGCGTGAAGCGTTGATGTCTTGTATTAAGTCTAAGACCATGCTTGCCACATGATATAAGCTTGTTTCTTTTAGAAGGACCATGAATAGTTGAAACTTAAAATTTAACAAACCCATGGCACATACGTTATGTTATCACATGGAGCAATATCAAATTCTACTTGGAGTACTAACAAATATACTGTATGCAGGTAGCTCTAATGCTAGTGCCAGACAATGAAACATTCATTAGTAGCCTCATGGCAAAAGATGAAAACTATGACGACTTGAAGCTGGAAATAGAGACCTTAGTTTCCTTACTTGTGCCTTATCTGGAACAAATCCACTCGATTCTGGTAAACTATTCGACAACCCAACGCTTACCCAATGCTGCTGCTTTTTTCCTTCTTTGGCTAACTTGTGTGTTTTACATGTTTGATTATACTTTGTTTTGCAGAAATTTTATCACTTGGATAGGTTGAAATCTAACTGAGGTACACACGTAAACAAAGCAGAATTAATGTGTACAGCCATAAGTCAAAGATTCCAGTATTCCTATTGATGTAAATATGTGCAAATTGTATTTGGTTGTTATGATAAGCAAAATTGTCTTCGTGATTCGTATAATTAATTAAGTATTATCTAATGTATCTCAACATGAAGGAACATCTATGATCTATCTAGCTATGTTCTCCTCTGTACAGTTTTAATGGAAAGTACTCGTAAATCATAAATATTAGGCTTGGCTTCAAGGGCGTGTGGTTTGAAAACTAAGGACCCACAAGTTTAGCAAGAGATCGTATGCATGAAACTCCCTTGTATTTGATTAAAGTTTGGGCTTTAAGAGGCGTTTTGGTGAAGTTTCTGTAGTGGTTGTTAAGGCTATGAATATGGTAGTTCAAGTAGCTGCTCATGGTGGTTTTAAAAGTGGTTGTACCAAAGGGAATGGCTCGAGGCTTACAGTGGATAATGCTTCCAACAACTCGAAAATGGTTGGACTTAAAAAATGGAAAACAAAAAAAACTCTAAACAATATGATGTGGACTCCTCTCCAAACAAATTAACTATATAAAAATAAACTTTGATAGGAATGTTAGACCTAATGGCTATGCTGCTTCTGAAGGAAATTCTAATGTTCATACCATTAGATAATCGGTTCGTTCCTCTTGGTTTTTATTTCTATTTTGAAGGTTGAGACATTTGCTTTAAGACTACCTCATACGATTCATCATGTTAATTTTGAAGGGAGATATTCAAACGCAGCGATCCAACAGTTAATCATCAAAGTCTAAATAGCTTGGCGTAGTCTCTCAATTATTCAAGATAAAGAGGGCATACATAGCAGGTTACACCATCACGATGGCTTCCCACGCTAATGAAGTAAAGACAAGTATAAGTTTTCATCTTGACCCTAAAAACTACCAAGCCTACGTGGCGCGCAGACCGAGTAATCTATGAGCTAACTACGTCCTTTGGTTGAATGCGGGGCGTGCCAACTCGTCGGCCAAGCTCGGCCAAGGAGTAAAATTTGTTGATGTTGCGTTGGGTGCTCTGCTGACTTCAAATCTCGCGACTCGGGCCGAGGAAGGAACACTCTCGGCCTTCAGGTTCTAGAACCTGAAGACAAGGTTACTATTCTTACGAAGCTCACAAATCGTCGTCGTCGGATTCGGTCACAGTGATGGTATTCGTTAGAGTAAACTCACGCCGAATCGACACCAAAGTGTAAGGGCACAAATACTCAAAACGGATATATGTCTTAACAATAAACGTGGTTCGGCCGTCAGAATGCCGAACTCTAAATCCCACTTGAGAGTATCCAATCATAAACTAACTCGGCGTGCAATGTGCCGAGCCTAATAAAATGTAACACCTCACTTCGCCGAGAAGGCTAATAAGATGACCTCAACCAATAAAGATTCGGGAATCCTTTTTGACCGAGACTTGGATAGATAACTAGTCACCCTCGACGTAGTGCTATCTATGTCGACTGAAGATGCTGCGAGACTGGCTGGTTCTACGGTGACAGTGCTGTCTATGCTGGTTGAAGATATCACCGGTTGCCTTCACAGTGCTGTTTATCCAAACTGAAGGTGTGTTGGCGAAAGAAGAAAAGGAAAAAAAGTCTCAAGGTTGTTGAGAGAATTTGCGCAGGGCAGTTGTGTGTTGAATTGAAGGGGGTTTGAACGATGTATAGCCTCCTCTATTTATAGCATCAGGTACTGTCTAGATCGAGTTAAAACCCTACTCGGATTAGGATTTCTTCTTCTAATCAAACACCATCCTGACCAGTCCTATTTTCACTAAGACTTTGAACCCAGTCCTTTATCAAGCCAGATTCACTTTCGGGTTATCAATATCCATATCTCGCCGAGACTCCTTATTGCGCCAGGATTCGATTACTCGTCTCACAGCATGACTTGACTGACCTAGATTAGGAAGCCCATGAATTAAACGATCCACGGTAACCGTTTCGTAAGGCCTTCCGGGTCGAAAATAAATCTCGGCCCAAACAATATCATTGTTTTATTGACATGGAAGGCAGCATGATAGTTTACTCATCCTATTCAAGTTCTTCTCTACTAATTTATATAAGATTCCTTAGTACACTATTGACCATATTAATCTGGCGGTAGATTGATTTTACAAACATAGGTCATAATTATATATGATCATGTTTGTATTTAGTTAGATCATTATATATGGTCATGTTTAGATTTGGTTAACTAACTTTGAACTTTCTTCTTTAAGATTGAGTAGTCTGATTTCTACATGGCATGTTTTTTGTACTGTTATTTTCAGGTTCTTTTTTATTAGGAAACGAAGGTCAGACTGAGAACATTCCAAGTCTATTTGAAAGATTTCATTTCTTCAGCAAGCCAATGTTAACAGAATGGTTAATAGTTCCCCACCGCTGGATTAGTGATCTATCATCTCGCCCTCTTTCAAATGTCTTGTACTTCATGTAATACTTAACTATTCGACCCCAATATGTAGTCTTTCGTTGGTCATTTCCATGCACAACATCGATGCTAGTTGCAAGCCAAGCTTGTATAAGAAGAATATCTTCTAGTGAAACTCTCTCCTCGTTTTTTCTTTGCAGTTTCTGGTTCTCAATAGGAATTTGGGATGAATTCGCAGGTAGGACTTTCTTGCATAGGAAATGGTTGCCTCATGGTGACATTATTGTTTGGGGATTAAGAGCTAGTGTAATGAAGTAGGTTGGCCAAGTTGGGGTGGAGAATTCATGCTAAGGAGTCTGGTCTTTGGTCTCAAATTTATCAAGTCAAGTATTTGAAAGGTTCTTCCATTTTAAACCTCAAAATTCATCAAAGAACTGAGTGTTCTTATATTTGGAAAGAGATTCTGTATGGAGCTAATCTTCTTAAAAATGCCTGATTTGCAGAATGGTAATGGTGAGAGAGTGAAGTTTTGGAAGGATATATGGATTTTAAATGTCCCTTTAATTGAAACTATTGATGCTGCTAATGTCTCCAATGGTGATTATGTTGTCTCAGAGTTTTTAAATAATGGTTGGTGGAATTTTAATAACTCAGATATATGTTGCCATAGGATATGGTTCAAAAAATTATGTGTTAGTCTGCTAGTACTACTGGTGCAGGTGTGGATAAAATTATTTGGATATGTGCTTTTAATGGAATTTCCACAGGCAAGTCAACTTATAACATTTTTCGTAATGGAGAGGATTGGTCTGATACTTGTGGATTCTATTTGGAAAATTAATGTTCCACCTAAGCTAAAAGTTTTTCTTTGGTTGATGAGTAAAGGGAAATTGCTTTATCTTTGAGCAGTAAGTTAGAAGAAATTTAATATCTAATCCTTCTTGTAATACTTGTTGCGGACCAATTGAATCCATTGCTCATATTTTCAAAGGTTGTCCCATACCTGTGTATTTGGAAAGTTATGAGAGTTTCAAGGCAACCGAGGAAAGCCCAGAATCTTGATTTTAAGGACTGGATGCTGGCATATTTGGAAATGGAGAAGTAAGCAAATTTTTTATGTCAATTTTGTCATGCCTGTTGATCCAAAAAAGCGATCATTGTAGGAGATGTGGCTGAATGGATGAAGGCTTTTGTAAATTCTTTCGTTAAACATGTGAAGAGACAAATTTCTCTTTCTTAGTATCATCTTAATATAGGTTGTTGTAAACTTGTAAGCTAAACGTGGATGGATCATAATGGCTTTGGTTAGGAGGCTTTGCTGTTCATTTGGAGCAAGGGCGGGTTTGTGATGTTGAACTATGGAGTTTATACTTTGGTTTACAACTTGCTTTTGATAAGTGTTACTGATCTTAGCATTGAGATGGATTTCAAGGCTATTGTTGTGTTGTTGAAACAAACCCAAGTTGATAATTTTCATTCTCTGGACACAGTTAAGCATATATAGCTTCAAATTAATGATGAGACAACTGAGAAGGTGTGAGTTGAAACACATTTATAGAGAGAAAAATATTGTGGCGGATTCGTCAGGCTAACTGAAATTTTAATATGAATATTAGCGGTTTTGTATTTGATAAGCCTCCTGTTTGGATTAGATTAGCTCTCGTTGAAGACACTGTTAGAGTTTCTCGAACTTGTTTTGTGTCTCTTGTTGTTTTGTGGTTTGCATTTTGGCTTGTATTCCCCGTTCTTGAAGAAAAAAAAAGAACTAACAAGAATCAAGAATTTGTTGTGAAATTGAGGATATGTGTGCAGAGGAACATAAAGTAAATAAGATACAATATTTATGAGGTTTGGCAAGTGTGCCTGCATCCTCAGGGCAACAATAGTATTTTCTCTCATTATCTAAAATAATAGGAGTACAAAGACAACATTCACTATTTTTCTCCCCTCTCTAGCCTTATAGCTTATTGTTATATTTCTCTTTTTTTTTCTTCCCTTTTCTCTCTATTCTTTCCTGTTCTCTTTTCCGTTTCTTTTTTTTTGCTGGTGGCATTGGCCTTCATTATATAGGCAAATGAATCGGTAATGACATCATTGCTTACACATGCATGATGCCATTGCTTGCACATGCATGAAGTCATCTACTCAAACCAAATAATGGACATCCATATTTACACCCTTGGATGACCATATATCAATATCGATTGCCTCGTTAAAATCTTGATCTGTTTTGGATGCTCCCCCTGATGGGTATCTCCTTCTGATTTCGAATTCTTCAATTTGACTGATTAAAAGGTTGATATAATTTGATACCATGCATGATAGGTGGAGTGTTTTCTTTTGAAAGTGGATCACATGCGCTCCAAATTTTAATGAGTCACAAGTCTTTATCAAACACATGTATTTCTAAGAGATATGAAGATGTAGCAATGAATGCTTGCTTTCTTGATCATTGTAGGATCAATCTGTTTCCATTTGTAAATTTCTGAAAGCGATTTGAATGTAGGCTAGAGAGATTTTAAATTTTGTTTGCCCAATAAGACCATGGCTATTAGCAAGTTCTTTGAATACAACAAGCACATTTCCATAATTTCTTAGAGATATCAATAGATAAACTTTACTTCATTCTTAAAACTCATATGTTGGTATTGTGCTTCATTGGAAATATAACATTTGATTTAGTGTACTGTACTAGATATAGTAAGGCACACACTTCACTAAGATGTGGTACTTCTGGATCAAATATTAACTCATCGTTTCCCTCACGAGAATGAATGATCTTTCATAGTGTCTAAATATTGGTTAATCATTTGAGTGTTCAACTTATAATCTTCAATCCATATGGTCCT